TTGCTTATGCAAAATTCTGATCTTGTACCTCAAACTAAAGTTTGTGTAACAACTTTTACTTGGTTGGATTTTCATCCTCTTTGCATTTATGCCTATAATTGTTTTTTTATATTATTATTATTATAAGTGATTTTTCCAAATTTTGATTCTAAATGGTTCATCTGTTTCTCCAGTTGGAAGTTATTAAAATTATATGCTTTAGTAATCATGCAATCATTGACATCAGTTAAAATAATACTTTATTTACCAATTTTTGGGATGTATACCTTTATCAAGCTACTGTAATAGAAAAACACTCACAAAGATTTTTGAAATTATAACTAATGTTCTAAGCTAGAATGCTAGTTATAAGATCAAAAATATATATGTTTCTCTTCTGCAGCCCCTTGATTAAATATGTAGAACTCAAACATTGGGAAATAAAGGATTTATCAAAGCTGAGTATAATGTTTGATTTATTAAGCTTTCATTGTAGCTATGAATATAATGTAGCTGGACATGAAGTCTGACATATATTGGTTGTATCAAAGATATACATAAAATGTTTGATTTGTTAAGGTTGCATTGTAATTATGTGGAATTTTATAGCTGGGTATCAAGTCTAAAATATAAAGGATTTATGGTAGTTGTTTATATAATTTTGATTTGTTAAAATTACATTTCAGCTATGTGGAATGCACTAGAGCTCGATATGAAGTCTGAAATATAAAGGTTCTGTCAAAGCTGTGTATATAATCTTTAACTTGTTGTAGTTGCATTACAGCTATGTGGAATGTATTGTAGTTAGGTATGAAGTGTGATATATAAAGCTTGTATTATAGCTTTGTATAATTTTTGATTTCTTAAGGCTGTATGGTAGGTATAAAGAATGAACTAGAGCTACGTATGAAGTTGACATACATACAAAGCTTTTATCACACTTTGCATAATGTTTTATTACTTAACATTGTGTCATAGCTATGTGGAATATTTGAATTGTTAAATATGTACCATAGCTGGGTATGAAGAGTGACAATAAAGTTTGTATCACAGCTGTGTATACTGTAGCTATGTGGAACATTTAACAGCTGTGTATGAAGTCTGACATATAAAGGATATATTAAAGCTTTGTTCAGTTTGTTCAAATTGTATTGTAGAATGTAATCTAGGTGAATATGAAGTCTGACATATAAAGGTTGTATTATAGATGAGTACCATGTTAAGATTGTACAGGGTGTCCCAGAAATCCGGACACATAGGGAAAATAGACATTATATATTCTTAAAGTTAAACAAACACATTTCTAATGTCAGTTGTACGTATTTCAGTAAAGAAAATACCCTGGCACAGTAAACCAAGAATTGATATATGTATGATTATTAATGGCATGCAATTTGAATAATAAATAAATAAAGAATAAATTGTGTATTTTTCCCTCTGGTTCCAGACTTCTGGGACACCCTCTATTCTAGTTAGGTGGAATATACTGAAGCTGTGTATGACATCTGACATATAAATGTTGTATGATACCTGTGAGCAATATTAGATTTGTGAAGATTGTATTGAAGCTATATGAAATGTTTGGGCGTGAAGTCTGGTATGCAAAGATTGAATCATAGCTGTGTGAAATGCTTTGATTTGTTGAGGATGTATTCTAGCTAGATAAAATATATTGTAGCTGGATATAATGACCTATAATGGTTGCATGTTACCAGTGTGTAGGATTGGATTTATTAAGATGGTATTGTAGTTACATGTAATACACTGTAGATGGGTTTGAAGTCTGATATATAAAGGCTGTATGATGGCTGTGTATAATCTTTGTTTTGTTAATGTTGTATTCTAGTTACTTGAAATGTACTAGAGCTACGAACAAAGTATGATATACAAAAGTTTGTTACATAGCTATATGTGTAATGTTTGTTTTGTTAAGAGTGTACTATAGCTATGTAGAATATATTACACCTAGGTATAAAGTCTTACATTTAAAGATTGTATCAAAGATGTGGATATAATGGTCAGTTTGTTAAGGTTATATTATAACTTTGTTGGATAGACCGTACCTGGGTATGAAGAATGACACATGATAACTGTGTGTAGTACTAGATTTGTCAAGACTGTATTGTAGACATAGAATTTATTGTATCTTTATATGAAGTTTGACATATAAGGGCTGTATCATAGCTGTGTATATTGACTGTTTTGTTAAGATTGTACTGTATTTATGCAGAATGTACTGTAGATGGTTTCAAGTTTAAAATATAAATGTTTTATCAAAGCTGTGTTATATTTGTTAAGATTGTATTGTAGCTGGATATAAAGTCTGACATATAATGGTTGTATGATACCTATGTGCAGGATTAGATTTGTTAAAATTGTATTGTAGCTATGCTGAATATGAAGTCTGACATATAAAGGTTGTATCATAGCTCTATAGAATGTTTCATTTGTTAAGGATGAATTCTAGTTAGGTAGAATATATTGTAGCTAGACATGAAGTCTGACATACAAAGGTTGTATGATACCTGTGGGAAATATTGGATTTGTTAAAACTGTAATGAAGCATATTACAACAGGATGTGAATTCTGACAGAAAGAACTTGTATAATAGCTGGGTTTCATTTTTTAAGATTGTATTACAGCTACGTGGAACATTTCATTTGTTACACTTGCATTGTAGCTATGTGAAACTTACTATAGCTGGATTTGAAGTCTGCCATATAACAAATAAATTATAGTTAAGTATTATTTTGATTTATTGAGCTTGTATTATAGCTATGTGGAAAATGTACTGTAGATGGATATGAAGTCTGACATATAAAGGTGGTATGATCACTGTTTATAATTTCTGATTTGTTACCACTGAATTCTAGCTATTTGGGATACTAAAGCTGATTACAGAGTATGATATATAAAAGTTTTATACTATAGATACACATAATGTTTGTTTTGTTAACCTGTGTTGTAGCTATGTAGAATGTACCGCACCTAGGTATGAAATCTTAAATGTAAAGGTTGCATTGTAGCTATGTGGGATGTACTTTAGCTAGATGTCAAGTTGAACAAAAAAGATTGCATCATAGCTGTGTGAAATGTTTGATTTGTTAAGACTATTTATTGTAGTTATATAGAATGTACTGTACCTCAGTATCAATTCTGAAATAAAAAGGTTGTACCAAAGCAATGTTTGTAATATTCGATTAGTTATACTTTTATTGTAGCTATGTGGAATGTCCAAGCAACTTGTATGAAATATGATAATAAAAGTTGTACAATTGCTGTTTATGAAATCTGTATGATAGACATGTATAATGTTTACTGTTAAGCTTGTATTGTAGCTATGTCGAATGTCCAAGCAACTTGTATGAAATATGATAATAAAAGTTGTACAATTGCTGTTTATGAAATCTGTATGATAGACATGTATAATGTTTACTGTTAAGCTTGTATTGTAGCTATGTGGAATGTCCAAGCAACTTGTATGAAATATGATAATAAAAGTTGTACAATTGCTGTTTATGAAATCTGTATGATACACATGTATAATGTTTACTGTTAAGCTTGTATTGTAGCTATGTGGAATGTCCAAGCAACTTGTATGAAATATGATAATAAAAGTTGTACTATTGCTGTTTATGAAATGTGTATGATAGACATGTATAATGTTTATTGTCGAGCTTCTTTGCAGCTATGTTAAATGAACAGTAGCCAGGTATGAAATGTGCCAAATAAAGGATGTATCACAGTTGTACATAGTGTTTGATCTGTTAAACATGTAGCTATGTGGAATGTATTGTAGCTGGATGTAAAGTGTCACACAAAAAAGTTGTATTACAGGTGTGTGAAGTGTCTTATTTATTATGATTGTATACTATTTATATAAAATGCTTGATCTGTTCAACTTGTATTGTAGCTATGTAGAATGTAAGTTGTATTACAGCTGTGTGAAGTGTCTTATTTATTATGATTGTATACTATTTATATAAAATGCTTGATCTGTTCAACTTGTATTGTAGCTATGTAGAATGTAAGTTGTATTACAGCTGTGTGAAATGTCTTATCAAGCAGGAAGTAGCACTGCCTATGTAGGGACGGCTCCCCTGCCTACTTAGGAATGGCTTGGCTTGTTCATTGAAATATTTTAAATATCTCCTCAATAGATCATCAGAACTTTATAATATTATACAGTATTTCCTTTTAT